TTCAGTGGTTTTAATGATTTGAGGAAGAATCCCTAGGAGAAACTTGGTAGTGTTTTCTACTTTTTAAAATTTAATTTTTAAATTTTGTGTTAGTAAAGTACGTAAGTCTTAGGTGTATGTATGCCTTGTTGAATATATTGGTATATACTCTTGAGTCACCATTCAGATTGAGAGAACATTTTCAGTATGCTCAGGACTCCCTTCTGCTCCCTCCCAGTCAGAACTGTCCCCCCATATGCTAACTGCATTCTGACTTCTGTTGGTATAGATTATTAATTCTAGTCATCCTGGGGCATTTTATTATAGTTCTTTCCATGGTGTTGTCCTGAGCATTGGCCCATCTACCAACCCCGAAGGTTCTTATAAGGACTCCCTTGAGAGAGGTGTCACTGGGTTTGAACCAGATCTTTTAAAGGGAAAAAAGAATAGTGATTCATTGACATTTATAATGGAGTTTTTTTTTACATTGTTGAAAGCCATATTGAGTATTTTCAGGGGGGGTATTCCTAGTAAGTACAGATGGGGGAACCAAATCAGAGCTGGCATGGACCAGTGTTTTTTCTGGAACAAGTTTTGCTGAAAATTGATTCTGCAGAATATTAATAGATGTTATGTAAAATTAAAAATAAACAAAAATCGCTAGTCAGGTAACTTTGCAAATAACTAAGTGAAATGAAGTTGAAGTGTTTCTTGTTTGTAAATTTAGGAATTTGCAGTATACCTTGTAAGTATTTTTGAAGGCAAGGAGGAAAAGAGGTGAGGCAGCTTAGAATACAGTGTTTCCCAAGTATATATGGTCATGGAATCATTTTTAAGAAATGTCTGAAAAGCCTGGCATGCCATGCCACAAACCAAGAAAAGTGGTTTGCCCGAAATCTTCTTACAGATGAGAAACTGTTCATGTTTCCTTTCACTAACTCAGAAGATGTAGTTTTAAGTACATTAAAATGTAAAGAAGATCTTCATTGTCGTCTTAAGCTGTTTTGATGCTTAATGTTTTGTTCAGGATTCTAGGTCTAATCAGAAGAGATAGTGTGCAAGGTCCTTTCAGATGCATTGCTGGCAAATGGAACAGGGAGTAGCTCTAACATATGATTTCAGAGAATCACCTGAATCTACCTTTCTAACCCACTAATGGGATAAGCAAGATCCTCATTCTCAAACCTTAGTTTTAACTCCCTCAAGTGAAGACTTAATTCTTAGGATGAGTTTTTTAAAAAAATGGGGCCTAGTTGTGTCTTTAGGTTATATTTGAAGGCTTTATTTTTCTGTTGTAAAATATGGAACAATGAACTTTATTTCTTTTGTGAAATAAGATTAATTTCTGAGAATTATAGATTTATAAGAGACACATTCTTAACACAAAATAGTTTTACACTAAAGCAGACAATTTAAAAATAGTTGTAAAAATGTACCAAAAATTATAGGACTGTAGGGTATGAGAAAGGGGTCTAAAATGTTACTTTACATAATTTAGAATCTTTTTTCCCCCATACTGGGGATTGCCCCTCAGGGGCACTTAACCCCTGAACCACATCCCCAACCACTGCTCCCCTCCTTTTAAAATCTTTATTTAGAGACAAGGTCTAGCTGACTTGCTTAGGGCCTTGATAAGTTGCTGAGACTGGCTTTGAACTCATGATCTTCCTGCCTCAGCCTGTCTAGCCTCTGGGATTACAGGTGTGAGCCACCATGCCTGGCTAATTTAGAATCTTAATTGAATTAAGGCTTCCAAATTCCTGATAGAAAAATTTGGGATTTTGTACTGAAATGTGATTTAGATTGATAATTGCACAATTCCAAATTACATTTTACTAGAATCCACTTAGAATAGACCTGTTCCTTGATAATTTGTAAGACAGCAAGTGTCACACAACAAATAAAAGGAATTATGACAGTAGAAATATTTGGTTAATGCAAGGAAGTTCTGGGAATGTGTAGGAGCAATTATAAGACTTGGAAATCCACTTTGATGGAAACGCCTCACAGATATTCTTTGGTGTAGAAGAAATTTTTTGAAATATGATTTATCTTTTTAAAAATTGCATTTTGGTGTGTATTTCCCTTTTCTGTAAAATTTCTTACTGAATCTAAAATCAGTAAGATAATTGTGTAAAATATGCTAAAATTTTTATTTCATTTTTCTCTCAATATTATGCTAAATATCTTGAACAGAATCTTTTAAACATTAACTCTGACCTTTATTTCTTATTTGACAGCCATATTAGAAAAATGGTATTGAGGTATAAATATGAGTCCTCACTATGGACATAATCTTTTTTTTTTTAACTTTAATAAAATTTATTTATTAGTAGTTTTTAGCCTCAGCAAAATTGAGCAATAGCCTTTTTTGGGGGACAGCCCTATTTTGTATTGTCTTTAGAGACAGGGTCTCACTGAGTTATTTAGTGCCTTGCTTTTGTTGAGACTGGCTTTGAAGTTGCAATCCTCCTGCCTCAGCCTCCTGAGCTCCAGGATTACAGACGTGTGCCACCCGGCCTGGTGGGAGCTATAGCCTTTTTGTTACTATGACAAGGGTGCATGGTAGTGTTTGTTAAAAGGGCACTTTTTCTATGTCAGTTGCAGTGTATGTACAAAATGTATTTGCAATCATGTTTTTTTTTTTTTTTATAATTGTTAGTTTTGAAGGTATAAGCATCTGTACCTAACATAAGATGTATAGCTTCATTGTGAGACTTATGAAGTCAACTGAATTCAAACATGGGATATCCATGGGTTTTTTTGGCGTGCTGATGGAGAAACGGCATTTTCTGAAATCTTTCATGTCTGGGAATAATGTGAATCTGTGTCTTGTGATTTGTTATTCTGTTTTTACTGCTTCAGGATTGGAAACTTTTGTATTTCATGTTTTGGCAGTTCAAACAAGATAAGAATTTTTAGTTCTATTTTGAAAAAGCTGTGACACAAATGTTACACATATACATGCCAAAGATGAATGTAAGTTATTGGAGCTTCAAGGAAACTTAGTTTTCTTACTATTTATATGTTTCTCTTGTTATTTAAAGTAGCTTCTGTCTTAATTAATATATCACTTACAGAACTACTTATAAACTCAAAAGTTTGTGTACATAGTTATGCACTTCCAGTGATATCAAATTTCTGATTTTAAAATAAAAACTCACCATACTTTTGCTTTTTTTTCCACTGTTGAAATTAGGTAGTATTTCAACTGGCACTTGTGACTCCTGGGGGGAGGAATAGCAGTTGTCTTGGTTGGGCTACTGAAGGAGAATCCAAGACTACAAAGCTTGGATTTTCGGTTTTAATACAGAGACTTCTTTCATATCAGCATTCCGAAGACTTAGCATTTTGATGTATCTTGCACTTTCAGAAAGTTCTCGTAACATTAAGATAACTGAATTGCACATGGATATTTAAGGAAACATTTCTAGAGTCTGTACTTTAATGTATCATGTCATCTAGGCCCTAGGTGATGCTAATCAATTGCATAGCTTTGAAATGCACTAGCGATATTTTAGGAGTATATTTATTGAGTTTTGGGGAGGGTGGGTCTGAAATATATTTTCAAACTTTATTATGGAAAACCTTAAATGTTCACAAAGTAGAGATAATCACAATGAATCCTATGTATTCATTGCCTCATCTCACTAGTTTCATATCACAGACAATCTTACTTTATCCTTACACTCCCACATTACTTCCTTCTACCTTCTGTAGTAATCTAGTAGGAAATCCCAGGCCTCATATGATTTCATTGGTAAATATTTCAAGGTGTGTCTCTGAAGGAGAATAAAAATTATTTGTACTCCTATTAAGTGCTGCCTGGCTTTGTTGTGGAGAGGAAGCTGAGTGCTTAGAAATAGGCCTTCCATTGCATTTTATTGTAGTTAATTTGGTGTATGTGTGGGGGTCCTGGGGATCGAACCCAGGGTTGCTTAATCACTGAATCACATTCTCAGCCCATTTTTGTTTTATTTTGAGACAGGGTCTCATTAAGTCCTTAGGGCCTCAACAAGTTGTAGAGGTTGGCCTGGAACTTATGATCCTCTTGCCTTAGCCTCCAGGCGTGCACCACCATGCCCAGTTTATTGTAGTTAATTTGTGTTTAGAAATATGAGTTTATATACTACTTAGGTATTATAGTAAATATCAAGAAATTTGAATTTTTTTTCTGTAAATATATCTGTGAAGACATGAATTACCATCATGTTTGAAGCTATGTGACAGTCCTCATTTCATAGCCAGCCTACAGTTTGCTTTGTCGTCCCCTGCCACCCCCCACCCCCCACCCCGCTCCCACCAGCTGCCCATTGCTTCCTTCTTTAAATGCTGAGAGACAAGCAGCATATACTGCTGTTTTGGGTGGTTTTCTAGAAATCTGATACACATTAAAAAGGAGAGAGAGGGTAAAGGAGGGAGGGAGAGTGGGAGAAAGCCAAAAAGGAAGGGCGGAAGGAGAGATTTGAGTTGAGAGAAAAGAAGGCAAAAGCAGCGAGAGATGAGAGCAGGACTGCCAGTTTGGTCCCCACAGCGAGCCTCCCTGTGCCTTCCCTCCTCTCTTGGTCCTCAGTTCTCTATCTCCACCTTTCCTAGCTTCCCCTGTGGTTTGTATCCCCCTTTTTGGGGGCAGTAACTTAACTTTGCTGGTGGCATTTAGGGTCAGGAAGTTTGCTGATTTCTCCCTTAGAGAGTGTTTCTATAAGATAAAGGTTGTGAAATAAAACTTAAAAAAAATGGGTACTAATTGTTGTGCTTTATTTGCTTTTATACAAATATTTAGGAATATTTATTCACTCCAATTTTAAAAGTTGGGTACCTAGGGCTGTGGGCTAGTTGGATTTCTCATCCTCTGTGGATGAGCCATACAATGTTATAAAAACACTAATTTTATATAGACTTTTGGGTTTACTTTAGATGCTTTTATTGGAAAATTGTATAATGATTTTTTCTTTTTCTGTATTCTCTTTTTTTTGCCCATTGACTGGATGAATTGATTCTGCTCAAATTTGCCTCTGCAGTTCACAAGATTCCTTTGCAGTTCACCGTTGGAGGTAAGAGTTACTGACTTTGATACTAGAATTGTTAATTAACAATGTTGGTATCTTTCATTAGGCATTTATTTGACAATTTAGGAGTGATCATTTTGAAGTAACACATTTTTCAATAATAGTAATGGAATGAGTACAGCCTTTTTTGGTAAAATTTTCTACAAGTTACAGCTATTCACCTTCATAACTAGTCACTGCTCCTTTTTAAGTTCAATTCTTTCTCAGTAAGTAGAGTGAACAGTCCTTCACTTTAAATAGCCTTGTATCTCCATTATTCCCACAATTGTTTATTTAACTCTATATAAATTAACCTTGTGTTAAGAGACCTGGAGAAATCACAGGCAAAAGCTGTAATTGAGGAGGTTTCACCTGGTTTGAGAGACCATTTTAAAGCCCGTCAGTTGACTGGACAGGAGCAGGAGATTTGCAGCAAGCTTCTGTTGCCACACAGGCATGGTTTTGGGTGCTTCATTTTCTGTTCATTGAACACTCATCCTGGTTCTCAGTACAGAACTGAGGGTCCAGTAATTATATTTTAAGATAAAGAAAAACGATTCGATGTTTAGAGAACCAGGTATCATTGTGAGCTGCAGTTGCAGAAAAACTTGTAGGTGATTGGCAAGACCTGGAAAAAGAACATGTTTTCACTCATCAGCCACATGATCTTGGGCAGATCCCAGCTTCTTGGACCCTTAGTTTTCTTATCTTTAAAATGCAAATAATAATTCCTACATCTCAAATGAGGCCACAAAGAGGAGCAGGTGTGAAACATGCTGCTGGAATCCTATGGTATTTGTGTTCTTCCCTTAGGCGATGCTTCATCGCACACATGCCAGCTCTGCTCCTTGCTTTCCTCTTGCTTTTCTATTACTTATTTCACTTTGTGCTTCTTTCTTTGTTTCCAGCTCATTCAAACCACATTCCTCTCCATGGTTGAGCCTCAGTCTTATGTCGTTTGTAAGCCCATCTTTGACCTCCCCACATACTGGCAGTTATTAATTTTCTGTTTCTGTAACTTTGTGTTCATTTGGTTATTGAAACAATTTTTGTTCATGATGAGTTATGGTGCCCAGCCTGGCACGTTAAACGCTCCGGTGGCCAATTTGAGTGATCTCCAAGGGAAAGGGACCAAACCAGAAAGACTGGTACCATCCAGGTTTGGTCACATTTTCTAAACCTCCAGTGTCTGAGGGGCATGTGGGGAACAAAGAAATATTCTGGAAAGATTCTGGGCTTTGAAATGGGAGGCACTTAGGTGGCCCAAGGACCGTTAACTGCCATGAGTCTAATGAAATTGTTGGGTTATAATAATGACATCCTGCATTGTTGTTTTGCAATCTAAAAATGGAAATAATACTTAGAAGGTCATTAAAATTAAATGAGTTGATTTGTAACAAACATGAGCACAATGCCTGACAAATTGAGTTTTAAATAAGAACTTAGTGTAAAGCAAAAACCAAACCAGAAGAAACTTGCAGGCAATATACATTTTATAGTCTGTTCTTTAATTGAAGAAGCAATTTCTACTATAGAAGCAGTAGGAAGTATCACAAAGAAAAAGATAAAAAAATTTAATTATATAAGGATATATAATTTTGTACATAAAATACATATAATAAAAAGGCAACTTGGTGAAGTGTCATTAAAGAGTTATTATGTTGAATGTAATGATCTTTTAGAATAAAAAAATTCTGTTTCTTTGAATAACATTTGGTTAGATTTGATCAAGTAGTCAATGAGGTAAAATGCAAATTCTAGTCAATGTGTTTTAAAAGTTTATAGTAATCAAAGGAGGAGATACACAAAATATTAGCATCAACTATGAAAAGTTAAATCATTTTACTCTTCAAATAAAGGACCCACAGTGGGTAGAGGTGCATTGGTAGCCTCGATAGTGGTTTTTGTAACCATGTCATAGAGTTTCATTAAGAACTTAGAGGAGTGACCTGGAGTAAGGATTTTAAGGAGAAGGCAGCTAAGTTGAGTTGCTCCCCTGCACAGCTGGGACTTAAACAGGGCCTGCCGGATGGCTTAGTGAGTGGCCACTAACCCCAGAGCTCCTTCAGCAGCCCTGAGCCCAGGATTCTGTATTTTTGCCACCACACAACACCTGAGAGCCCAAGCAGAGCCAAGGCAGGAGGATGTTAGAAGTCTCAGAATGTTTAATTTTGCCACTAAGTTTATTTTAGCTGAAGAAGGGAAATTACAGATATGGTAAATACCCAAAACCTACCTAATTTTGAAGGAAAGAAAAATAAGTCTGGTAGAGACACATACTTGAGACTTGCAGTTGAAAATAAAGCTGACTTTAAACTTAATTTTATCTACAAAAGCTTCTATGAATGAACCATGTCCCTTTGTTGTAAGTCCTAAACAGTTAACTGCCACATGAATCTAATGAAATTGTCAGGTTATAGTAATTACATCAGTAATTTGATATGTTGTCATTTGAATGGACCATGTGTGGAGAGTCGGCTCCTTCCCTCTGTGGAGCTGACCCTTTTACATTCCTGTAAGCTGAAGACTAATAGCGCTCATTAAGCTTTATGGGAAAAGAGCTTTTATCACCTCGTCAAGTCAGGCCGCATATTTCCATTCTACTTCTAATTCTGTGTGGCTCTGTGGCTGCTGATGTGCACTCCCTGCTAGGTTTACATCGGACTTCTGCCTTACAGACATTTTTATTGACATTTCTGAGTCTGAATTACATTTTGTGTGGCACCACTTACAGATGTCTTCAATTAAATGTAGGTAAATAAAAGGGATTATATATCAGAGGCCAAAAGATTCTTGAAATTCTCTTTAGAGTCAGACTTTGCCAGCCAGTCCAGTTGGTCGCAGCCTCATCGTCGTATTTAGAGGTAGAGCAGCAGAGGGCGAGGTGTTGGGAACAAGTCATGCCACACATGCACAGGGACAACTTAGATCGCTCGATTTTTCTGCCTTCTGTTCCTTCCTTTCCCATCCCTAAAATCTTCTGGGAAGTCAGCACCTGTCACATATAGGAACTGTGCTTAACTTTGCCTGCATTGTTGATTCTTACAGACGATCTACTACTTCTTAGGAAAAATCAAGCCCAGAGAAGTAGATTAGATTAGCTAGGCACTCACTCCACAGCACAGCCACGAGTCTGGAGGAGGTGGCGCAGTGAGAAGCTGGAGCACTACTTGAAGAGAATGATGAATTGGAGGTACACTTGGTAAAGCCCACAGCAGGGCTTTTCAGCCTTGGTGCCCAGGGCATCTTGGGCTGGGGGGAGTCTTGGTTGTAAGGACCATTGGGAGCCTAGCTGCACCTTTGGCCTCTGCCCACTAGATGCCAGTATATCCTCCTCCCCTGCCCTAGTTGCCATAAATGGTCTTCAGACTTTGCTAGGTGTCCCTAGTGGACAAAGTTGTTCCTTGTTGAAAACCACTGCCCTAGAGCAGTCATAAGAAAAAGAAAGAAAAAAGGTGGAAAGAGGTAGAGTTAATAAGCAAATAGTGAAGATAAGATATGATGATAGAGTGTTCAGTTTAATAGAGGATAAGGAAGAGTGAACAGAAAGCAAGTGGGACAAATGGAGAACAAGTAGCAAGATGGTCCTTAAATCTAACCATGTTGATTATTAACTGTGAAGGGTCCCAGTCAGAACCCTCCTATTCAGAATGTCCTGCATCTGCACTGCAGAACAGTAGCCGGTGGTCATATGTATTGCTGAGCTATGTAGGAACTGCATTTGAATTTTAGTTAACTTTAAGTAGCCACATGTGGCCAGGGGCAATTGTCATATGGTGGGGAGTTGACACAAATGTTCTAACATTGGATTGTGATAGTTTTACCATTTTATAAGTTTGCTGAAAATTAGAATTCTGCAAAATGTAGAAGAAAGAAAGGCCAAAACTGGGTCCTGGAGAAATGAAGGGATCTTGGAAAGCTAGTAATGGAGAGATGAGGTGGGGGGAGAATGAGTTAAGCTGGAAAGAAGTCTGAATAATTTCTGGCCACTAAGAATCAGCTGTCCATAGAATTGTGGAGAGAAGGCTAGGAAGAGGGTTGAGCTGTGAGTTGGGGAAACTTTCATCTGTTCTCCAGCTTAGTACTTGGTTGACCCAGCTGTATTTAAACAGCTAGGGCCTGTTCAGAAAGAGGTACCTGAAGGGGACATAGACATCCTTAAAAGAATGGTTAGCATTCCACTGATGGCACTGAATAGTGAGCAGGGAAAAGCTAGGTTGTACCTTGGTTTGCTGGGCAAAAGTTGAAGTATAAGTAGGGATGTTTTTCTGGTCATGGAGGTTAGGAACAGTTATTGGTTTTTCAGGCTGAGTCCCATATTCTTGAATCAGAAGTTGAGCAGGCTGTAGACCAGAAGCACTAATTAGAATTCTGGAGCAAGATCACTGGGATTGTCATTTGACTGCTCTTCCCTTCACTTGGATCTGAGTGTACTCCTGGCTGGGACAGGGCTGCAAACTAGGCTAATGACAAGGAACTAAGTTAAACTGAAGATGCTGTTCCTTGCCCAGCAAGAGGAACTTGTATGTGCTGGCCAGAGTGTACTTCTGAGTTTATGGCTGGTTCCTAGAGGAACGAGCTTACTTCCATCTGTTTTTTGGACACCATGAAGACAATATAGATTGAAGGGGAGTATATTTCATAGTAAAATGATAGCACTTGGAAGTCCTTTTCTAGAAATTGATCCTGAATGATAAAAGTATCAAAACTGATTCTGAGAAAAAAGAAAGCACACTTAGAATAGAAAATCAAGCATTAAATACCACAAAATCATCTTGTTAAAGATTTTTCTGCATGAATTTGGATTAGTTATGGTATCTTAAAATCTTAAGTTCATTCAATCTATCTTCTTGCTGGATCTGGCTTCCTTTAGCAAGTAGTAGCATTCATCATTACTCCAAGGACCTTTTTAACTGTGTTGGAAATTAGGGTCATCTTCCTTGACAGTTTTCATTGCCCATTAGATGTGCATGAATGCTTCAGAAGATGTGTGAATAGTAAATCCT